AGACGCTTTTAGCAGAACACAACAAAGTTACGCTATTACAATTAGGTACTGAACTTATACAACATATCATCCTTGGATTTATGTAAATCAAACATTGAAGACAACTGTCAGTTGACCGAAGATTAGTTAGTATATGTATAGTTACTTTAAATTTCAATTCCACAAATCCATTTCTATTTTATTTCGTACTGGTTTAAGATTCAAAAAAAGATATATCCGTTGCATTCTAACTTGGTAATGAAGTTACTTAGGCTATTGATAAGGTTGTTTGCACCCAGTAAACACTCAAATCAATTTGAGACAGATGAACCTGATAAAGATCAGTATCTATCTATCCAATCATGATAAAATTCTTTACTTATAGTGACGTGTCGGCATTTATTTAACTTAAGAAAGAAGATGTCTCACTAATACTCCAATAATTAATTATCAAATTGCATGGTTCAAGAGGTCAAAGATATTTGGTAATCTATCTGATATAAAGGTAATATTAGAGAGACAAAACTTTGTAAATCGAATGATGTAGTTATTGATAATCGGATTATTACTTAAATATTGATTAACGTGCTTATTTTCTATTGGTGAAACATCATTTAATTTACAAATTTAGTTTAAAATTTTTGTGTGCCTACCATTATTCTTGACATAATTTTATATGCTAGCTAGTGAATTAACTATCTGAAATATTCAAATTAGCTATTAAGTCTCTCGTCCTTGTAGTTTGGGAATGTTATAAAATCCATTTCTCAACAATGCGTGGCAACACTGTAACTGTGTAATATGTATTTGTTTTATGACAAAAAAAAAAAAAAGAAAACAAAGGAAAGAAGAAAGAGAATATAGGTAGCCGATATATTAGTCTAAGACCATAAATTTTTAATTGATAGGGAGGATCTGGTTTGGTATTGTTGTGCTTTGAAAAAAAACTGTTTCTGCTGTGCTGTCAGAATAAGCAGCTCTGAAATAAAGCAACAGAGTGTTTGGTAAACTTTTTTGTAAAAGTGTTTTTGAAAAAAAAAACAGTATTATAGTGTTTGATAAACTTTTATGTAAAACAGATGTGAAAAAGCTGGTTTTTCGAAGCTGGGTTTTGCAGCTTTGTGTTTTTGGCTTTTTTCACCCAAAACTGTGAAAAAAAAAACTGAAGCTGAATGTTTACCAAACAAAAAAAAGCTGCTTTTTGATAGCCATTTATTTTTCAGAATCACCTAAATACCAAAATAGGGCTAGAAACTAACAAATTAAGCGAAGTGATTGTAACCACTGTTTCAAATGAATAGGTAGAGAACTTATATGAGGCAATAATAATTTAAGACAATAATTTATAAAAACATTAGCAATGATGAGTTATAGGCAGTATTTATTCAACAAGCATCAAAGATGCTTACGGGACAAAAACAAATAGGACAGTGCATGAAGAGATAGGATTTGTGAAATCATTTTCCTAGTCGAGATGATTAAATGTACATATTTTTTTTACACAGATAGTTTTAGACCTAATAAACAGGTTGTGTTTGTCGTGATCATGTATCAAACTCATTATCTTAATGGGGTCATATAATGTTAAAACCACTATCTTAACAGGTTAAACCTATTATTTTAATGTTGTTTCATGTGGGTTAACGTGTCGTGTAAAAAATCTTCAAGCCTAATGGGTAAACCTGAGAAACGGGTCCTTTTATGTCGTGTTAGTGTCACTTTCATGTCAACCCCGTTATTTTAACCAATCATGTCAAATCTGTTACCTTAACTAGTTGACTAGTTAATGTCGCAATCCAATAACGATCCGATCTGTTAATAGGTTGAGCCTATACATATTATATTTGTCTTGTTCTTACGTTAATGGCTCTTGCAAGAAATTGCTAGGCCTAAATTTATGTGTATTATTAAAGTCGAAGTAATAAGATGTAGTTGACATTTGGTGCATATGATTGGCTAATATTTTCCTAATTTTATAGATTATCACCGAGTATATTTTTTCTTGAGAAAATCAAGGTTAATGAAAAAACGAAAAAGAAATAAGTATTGAAGAATAGGAGCAATTAATCAAGTTTTGCTTATCAAAATAAATAAATACAAAATTAATCAAAGTCTCAAAGCGGTAGGTGAGGAAAGACAAGGCTCTTGAGGTGGCCAATAATTAGTCTAATGTTTGAACATGTTCAGCAAAATGCTTCTAAATTCTTCCACAGCTTACACAAAGATAAAAAAAAAGGAAGACCCACACTTTAAGAAATGTAGTAGAAGCTTCCCTCAAAGAAGAACTCCCACCCATTTCCCATTAGAAAAAAATATTAAAATCAAACTCCCTCAAACTCTCTTTCATCATTTTCTTCAAGAAAGAAAAAGTCCCTTTGTCCCAATCTCGATCTCATCTTTGAACACGACTAAAGTGGGGTTCATGTGGTGGGTTTTCTTTAATGTATGGACCTCTTCGCACAATGCTATCTCATAGGACTTTTTAAATAACAAACCAAAAAATTATATAAGTTAACAAAAATACCATCGTTTTTAGCTGATTAACAATGAATTCACTCGGACGTGAATAACCTTATATTTTTTATTTCTCAATTTGAATAAGATAACTAAGACTCATTCGGACATTAAGTTTTAAGCTTGTAATGTCATCTTATTCAAATTACAATCTGGCACACTTAAATTTGATGTAAACAAGACAAATAAAATGCAATCCAACACTAAATATGTCATTCTTGTTGTGCATATAACCACGTAACAATCGAGTCATGTTTTTGTAGTTTGTATTGTGTAATAATTATTTCATCGAACACGACTCTCTAATTGAACAAAGTGGAAAGAAAATGAACACAAAAACTATTCACGAAACCGTTACATTAGAACATTCAAAGACCGTAGAATATTCTCCTCTATGACTTTCCTATTAATTAAAGAATAGGCATTACTTTCGAGAAAATCTCGTTTATAAAATTTACATTTAGATTTGTTCTTATTTTGGATGAAGTTCATGGAATAGTCCTTTAGATCTTTGACGTTTTAAGTATCGCATATCAAATTGGACACCTAAAACTATTTTTAGAAACGAAGTACGAAACTTCATTTATTGAATAAGGAACATTACATAAACATATTCATCAACAATTCAACCCTACAACAGTAATTGCAAATTAGATTCAAAAGTAATACAATAATCATGACTAATTAATTGCAAACCAATAAGACGACTTCAAGCACTTCGTTGAAAGCCCAGCTCACTGGACACTCCAGGATTACAAGGACCAATGGAATTGTTAATTCTCATATTACATAGATATTATGTGATAAAAAATAAAAAACTCTGAAATGTATTGGGGTAAGATTACAATATCCATAGGTCTAGCCATATCACCTAATCTCTGTCATGACTCCATAACACCAAGTGAAGTAGATCCAATAAATCAAACAACTTCACTTCTGTTATACATAAATCTAACCTGAAAATAAAATGAAACACCTCTCCTAAAGAGAGAAATCAAAACCAGCAAACTCCTAGTGAGAATCTAGGAATTATTAAACATAATCAAAATTCAAAGAACAAAATAGTGTCACGGAATCTACATCCTCCCGGTAGCACGAAGAGAATGTGCCAAACTGGCTAAGCTCTAACCGGAACAACCTGATTGATTCCACGCCATGTGGCTCCAAACTTATATCAAAAGTGCAAATGGGAGTGAAAAAAAACTTGTGTTAGTTGTGTGCGTGGGCCAAAAGATGATAACCATTTGGCAATTACAACGTTTCACGGAAGCAATTCGACACAAAACAAAAGTAAGTGAAAGGTATAAGAAAGAAGAGACCAAGAAAGATTTTTAAGAAGGGTTGTCGCCAACTCCAAACCTGAAAGCAGGGGACGGCGGCGAAGGATGAGCTCCTTTTTGCTTTTCTCTATGGACGTATTGGGTTTCTAGTTATTCCAACTGATCTTTAACTAGGTTTAAGAGAATTAACATAATTTTTCCTTATATGAGTGACACATAACTTAAAATTGAAGTGTCTTAGCAATACGAAACTAGAAGTCAAAAATATAAACACAAGATGTTGATTCTACCTAAACCAATAAATCATATGAATGAATCAAATCAGAAAAAGCTGAGTACAATTGAAGTTTAGAGTAAATGTTTTGTAAATAAGAAAGATAGAACTAATTTGTTTTTTAACGAATCAATAACATATTTAACGGGTTAACAAAAACATGACTCATGTTTCGACTTGAATCTCATGGGTTAGTAAAAACACGACATGTTTTAGACTAGTTAACTCTATTTGAGCAAGACAACTAACGCTCATTAAGATATTAAATTTTTCAAGCATAGAGCGTGAGAGGTTAGTTAGATTCACTAGTCTGACATATCAATAAATAAAAGACAGGTAAAATGCAATTCAAAAATTAATTTTTTTTGTTAACATTGAGCATTTACCCCGATTGGTCTGACAAGATAAGTTCGTAACGCTGACAAAAGCCAAAAATGAAAAATAATTAATTACCATATATATTTTATATTTTATAATGAGAAAGAAAGAGTTTTGTTTCTACGAATTTCTAGATGCCACGTCACTTTCAATTTTTCTGTGGGTTCTTCTCCTTTATAAAGCCATGCCCACGAACGCGCTAGAAAGAAGTTGCACTTCTGTTTGTTTTGAGTCTTGAGGAAGGGATTGAAAGAAGAGAATTATGATCTTGGTCTTTCTTCCACCTCCAAACAACCACAACCACCGCCATGGAAGCTGGTAGAGGCAAAGCTCGAACCAACACTCTTCTCTCTCGCTTCTTTCTTTCCGGTTTTTACTGCTGGGGTTGGGAGTTCCTCACTGCCCTTCTCCTTTTTAGTTGCCCTAATACCTCCTCCTAAATCCTAATTAACTAACCCATAATTTAGTTAAATCCCAAAACCAAAAAAAGGGGGTGGGGTTTGTAGATCAGTTACATAGTGTTATAGCGAAAGTTTTTTTGGTTTCTTTTTTCTGGTTTTTTCCGATCGGAAATAATGGCGCAAAGGTCCGTTCCGGCGCCGTTTCTGATGAAAACGTATCAACTTGTGGATGATCCGAGCTCGGATGACGTGATATCGTGGAATGAAAGTGGGACGACGTTTGTGGTTTGGAAGACAGTGGATTTTGCGAGGGACATGTTGCCCAAATATTTCAAGCACAACAATTTCTCAAGCTTCGTCCGCCAGCTTAATACCTATGTAAGTTTTTCGAAATTATATTTTCTTTTGCTTGTATTTTTACTTATATTTATTTTCAAATTATATCACTTTGCATGTTTATTTATATTTATTTTCAAATTATATTAGCATAAAAAATGTCTTACTAATTAGTTCATAAATTACTTGAAACCCTTGGAGGGCAGAAGATAATCCCAAAGTGTAGGAAAAATTATTTTTATGATTTCGAAAAACAAAGTATAGGACAAAACTGAAGATCATTGGAAATATGGAATCATTTCCATAGAGATTCTCGTTTTCTTTTCCTCTTTTATTTTTTTCTTCAATAGTTGGTGAAGTTTGCTTGAAAATTAATAAAAAGGCTTCCATGTCAACCCATAGAAAAAAGAGAGTTCTCGTCATTTAGTATTAAATGATTATAGTCTATTATATTTCTTTTTATTTGTAAGAGGAAAATTTTAGAATTGATTTTTACCAGAGTATTTGAACCACATTATTATTAGTTCATTTTAAGACTAAGTAAATCTCTCAGTTCTTTAATGTAGATAATATTATTTGGTAGATCAAAAGAGAGGAAATCGTTCAAATGTTCCAATGGTAAATAAATTACCATTTCCTTTGCAAAAAAAAAAAAAAAAAAAAAACACTTTTATCATCGTCGAATTGTGACAAGGAATAAACTAAAATAATGATGAGCCTATTTACCTGGAAACTGCAGCTAATAATTCTTTTTCAGAAAAGAAAATTTTGTAGTTGAGTTTTTGTTCAACAAAAAAAAAAAAAAGGGTTGATGGGTGTCAAAGAAATATATATTAATCAAAGATAAAGTCACAATGGAAGCATCCAAACATCACACCCCATTTTAGAACTCTAAATCGTCGCTTGTGGCCGCAACCCAACGTCAAAGTTTTTTATTTTTTTGTCGAAATGGCTGAGTTTTGCAGTCCGGGCCCTTCTGTCTCCAATTTTCCAAATCCGAGGGCGGAAAATTAAACTTTCTAAACTTACTCAATTATTTCATAAAAAAATATATCTAGTTAATAATTACCAAATATTTTCCTGTTGCTTTAATTTCAGGGATTTCGAAAGACCGTGCCGGACAAATGGGAGTTTGCGAACGACAACTTCCAGCGAGGGCAAAAGGAGCTCCTGTCCCAGATCCGCCGCCGGAAATCTGTGACGTCAACGGCGGCGCACGCACCCCCCGGCGAAAAATCCGGAGTACCATCGACACCGTCGAACTCGGGGGAGGAGATGGCGTCGACGTCGACGTCGTCGCCGGACTCGAAGAACCCGGGGTCGGTGGAGACGGCGGCGCCGAGCCAGGTGTCGGATTTATCGGACGAGAACGAGAAGCTGAAGCGGGAGAACGAGAATCTGAACTCGGAGCTGGCGCAGACGAAGAAGCAGTGCGACGAGCTGGTGGGGTTTCTGGTGGAGCACATGAAGATGAAGCCCGATCAGATCAACCGCATCATTGGGCAGGGAATCTGTGGGCCCAGCGGCGATGATTTTGAAGCGGACGATCATGGTCTTGATCTGGATATGGAGGGTGGCGATGATGAGGAAGAAGAGGAGGAGGGATTGAAGCTGTTTGGGGTTTGGGTGAAAGGGGAGGAGAAAATGAAGGGGAAGAAAACGGGGCGATATGAGAAATTGGGGGTTGGTGGTGGCGGCGCCGGTGGGCCCCGCGCGAAGAGAATGAAGGGAGGGGTGGAATTTCACGCGCCGATGATGAGGACCGGGAAGGTGTGCAACTAGGCTAGCTGAGCAAGCCGAGCTAAGCGGAGCTAGCTGGAAGGTTGGGGAGGTGTGCATGGTAACTACTGTGCACATACCCGCATGCAGTTTGAAAAATTTGTAGAAAATGCTTTTAATTTTGCATAAAATATGGAGCAATACCGAAGTGCTTAGGTGGTATCGTAGAAGGGTTGCAAATTTGCAATAGAAGGACAAAGAATATGGCGGTGTTATTATGTAGCTATAATAAGGAATGGGGTTTTTGAACCTTGTTAGGTATGGAGGATCCGGATTCGATGCTCTGAGGTGGTGAGTCTGCTTGACTGTGGTCACGGGTAGGATGAAATTCTCTAGGTCCAGAAGAGGTGGATAACTGTGGCTTGTCACCCGTTCTTTCTTTTCTTTTTTTTTGAAAAAATTAAAAAAAAAAACTTGTTTTGTATGGACAATGCTGGAAAATGAGACTTTGAAATGGTCTCCTTTTTTTTATTTCCATCGCTTAGGAAAATTTAATATTTGCAATTTTACATTTTGTGTACAATCATTATTAACTTGCTTGATCATAAACTACGGTAAGTTTGGGGAAGGATTCTGTCTCATTCTCTCAATTCTTTAAATTATGAATACCTGTTGTCCCAAACTTTTGATCTTCTAATTTTTCAGCAAGTAATCTTATAGTCGTGTTGAAAAGTTAAGACATCGTTTATGCTTACAACGGAAGGAGGTGGGTTGTCATTGTAAAAGGTAATTTTAGGTCCAAGTGCTGACAAGAACTATCGTGAGAATTTATCTGGTGCTCATGAGGCAATTTACCGAGTACCGTCGAGATATGTTTAGGAAGTATTTCATTAAATACTTTGTGAGCATAAAAGAGACAATACCAAACATTCAAAGAATTCTTTGAACACTTTTACATGTATATTTCCCAAACTCTGGGTGGTGCTGTGATCACCTTGGTCCCAATGTACAGCTGTCAAGTATTTTCTTCAAGTTTCTTTAGCTTGAGTTGTGTTATCTTCCTAACTCACTCGCGCAACATGAGGGTTTAATCAAGATGACAATTTTAACCGTTAAACTTGATAACCGTGGATAACCGTCCAAATGGAATGAATTTGGGTATGGAAGTTTGGGTATATTTTGGATATGGAAAAAAATCGTGAATATTATTTGGTTATAATTTTGGATATGGTTATAGGAGTCCTAAATCCGTACCCGTATCCGAATCCGACCCGAATAATAAATAATATAATTTATATATAATATAGTAGTATTATATATATATATATATATGTGTGTGTGTGTGTGTGTGTGTGTGTGTGTGTTCATTATTCGCTCAATCCATTACCTTGATGTGGGAGCGAAAAATAACTCCTCCACTAAACAAGCCACTAGCACACTAAACATGAGGAGTGGAGCTACAATCAAGTAACATAATACCCACTCCATGGAACATGGAGAAATAGAAGGAAAGTGGGACTTGGAGCCCAAGACTTGAATGCCTATAAAAGGCCAAGAATCCCACCAGCCTAGGGGAAAAAAGGGGAAGTATCTAATAGCTTTACAATGTCTTGCAATTATTTTGAACAATGACTGACTTGAGCGTCAGAGTGTTTTCTTGCAGGTCCCCCGCTCTCATTGTTGGCAAGCGAAGATGGTGTCCAAGGCTTCTCAACGTGTTCAGGATTACTTGTTGGTGGAGAATTGGAGTATCTGAAATTTTCCTCTCCAACACTTGAGAACACAAAAGTTACACTTTGTAGGAAGGTTGAAAAGTTTTGAATCAAAATCTATAAGAATTCAATGGTGCTTATTGGAGATATCAAAGACCAACCAACATCATCAATGTTTTAAATTCAATGCTTTAATTTTTATACTCAACAAGATCCATTAATTGAATCACTATAAACATCAAATGTTTAATGACGAAATTAATATCTAGTAAACTATAATGCGTCAACTGAACCAATATATTTTTTATATTAACAAAGATGGATATAACTGTTAAGTGATGGAGAATCCGTTATCCAACGGCTATGGTTATGGATAATCCCGGATAGTTAATTTGCGGTTATGGATATGATTAATTTTCGTGGTTATAGGGATGAAAATAGCATTTTCATCCCCAAACCGAAATGTTACCATCCCTAGGGTTCAACACTAACTGCTTCGGGTTGTGTGGCTTATGCGAGTTGCACGTGTTGCATTCTTTACGCTAGCTACACGAGTTCCATGAGTGACGCAATAACATAATCCACGCCGAACTAATTAACTTAGCCCCTGAAATTAATCTAGTACGAGACAATCTCTTTGTAATAAACAACACCAGTGTAATTTCACCCCGTAGCGTCTCGGCATTGAAATTTATTTCAGCCCACAAGAACCCGTTTTCATTGATGTGTAAGTGCATTTGGATCAACGATTCTATAGTGGTGAAGCCCGTATGAAAATACAAACTGGGTTTTAAGTATATGAGCCCACTATGCCCAATGGCTGTCAGACATATCACAGGAGAAGATGATGGCGTCGGTTAGTGACTGTTGTGCTGCCCAGTGAATGAATGGCTGTTATCTTCCCCCACGTCTTACACTCCCCCGCTTTCCCTCGCCCTCCTCTTCCTCCCTTGTCTTCTCCACTTCTCTCCCCGTCCTGCATCCGCGCCTCCTCCGCATCAGCATCATCTCCCATGGACCCGCACAGCCAAGGGAGCAAAACAAAGTTCATAGACTTCCCCTACGTGTCGGCCCCACACAAGAACCTCATGGTCGATCTTGTATTGACGTTAGAGACGCGCCTTGGCTCGCAGCTCTTGCCTTGTACTCTCCCTCCCGACGTGCAGTACTACCAGAACGAGAGTGGCACCAACCATGCATCCCTCCACATCAGATCGGGCCTCTCCTCCGCCCCTGTAATTTTCTCGAACCCTGTTTCTCCTTTATAATTTTCACTTGATTTATATAAAAGTGTGGATATTAATGGTTTGATGCCAATTGGGATTTTAGCTTTTGATTTCAAACTCCCAATGGATTGTTGGTTGGAGGTAGAAATTTATAGGAGTAAATTGGGTTCGTTTCTTTTATTATTTGTTACATTTTTTATTGGGGAAGAAAGTGGACTTGTTCTAAATATAATTAAATTCTAAATGTAACGGGTGGTAAAAGAATCGTACCTATTTACTTGCTCTAGAATTTTTTTTTTTTTTTATGAGTGTTAGAAGGACTTGATTGCCAATTTACAGTATCTGATAAATTATTGATACAATATCGTAATAATGTTGACTTAGTGGGATTATAGCATCAACAAAATATCGATCAATTGTCGACATGTATTGCATGTTGGTGTGATGTCAACAAAATATCGATCAATCTGAAACTCGTTTGATAATTATTTTGTTTTTCGTTTACTGTGTTCTAGATGGGAAAGTTTGTGGGAGAAAGGGTATTGAAAAAAGAAAGGAGGAGGATGGAAGATGGAAGGATATTGAAGAAATGTATATGGAATGATATACAAAATGAAAACGAAAAACAAAAAATACGAAAGCAATTTTCACTTTTGCGTTTTTGTTTTCGTATATTATCCTTCATTTCTATCTCCATCATCATTGTTCATTCATGTTTCTCCCCTATACTTTCCCTCTATTTCTAACATAATAAATTAAAACCAAAATTTTGAAAACGAAATAGTTATCAAATGGGCTCTTACATGTTTTACTCTTCATTGACATTTGTATGTTTCAGGTTGATTTCATATTAGGAAGTTGGCTGCACTGTGAGCTACCAACAGGTGGAGCACTGAACATTACAAGTCTGTCATCCTATCTCAATCCAACCACAGATGCACCAAATTTCCTACTTGAGCTCATCCAGAGCAGCCCAACATCCCTAGTCCTCATCCTTGACCTTCCTCCAAGAAAAGACCTAGTTCTCCACCCTGACTACCTCCAAACATTTTATCAAGACACCCAATTGGACACACCCAGGCAAAAGCTTGAGAAACTTGCTGAGGTTAAACCCTACTTCTCTTCATCGTTATACATCCGAAGTGTAGTGTCTCCAACTGCAATTTTGGTTCGGATCGAAGCAGGGAGTGGCGGGGAGGGAAAAGGCTTGGAGGACATTATAGAAAATGATGTGAGTCCCATTGCAAAGGAGGTGCTGAGAATCTGGTTGGATCAATGTGCTTGTGGGGATAGAGAAGTGGGAGAGGATGAGAGGGAATATTTGAAGAGGAGGGATGATTTGATCAAGAGGAAGACTATTGAGATAGATTTGGGGTCTAATTTTCCAAGATTATTTGGGGCTGATGCTGCAGATAGAGTATTGGGTGCCATTAGAGAAGTTTATAAGGTATGATTAGTGATGGAATGAGTGCTAATTTGATCACTGTAAAAGATGATAAATAAAATAATTGTACAAGATTTTGTATAAATTTAAGCTTCAAAATTTCAGATCACCTTTATTTGATCACTGTAACCAGTAATGTTTGATGGAATAAAAGATTCTAATTCAAAACTAGTAGTGTGTTGAGAAACAATATTAGTTGTCCATGTAACAAATTTTTAATGTAAAATCAATATGACTCCAAGCGGGTCAAAGTTGACAAGGATCCTCTCCAGATCTTCTTTATGGGGATCTAGAGATCAATCAATCGTGTTCGTTCATTGTACATCGTGCGATTAATTTTCGTTAGGTACTATTTATATTTAATTTTAAATTAAAATTTTAAAATGATTTCTAACCGCACGATGTACTATAAACGGACACGATTGATTGATCATCCGGATCCTCACAAAGATGATCCTATTCTGGCCAAGGTATAGGACAATTGAGTGTTACATCATATAAATAAAGTTAAATCGACAGGTAGACCAATAGATGAGTCAGTATATGGGAGCGCTCAATGCGCAGATGGCTTGCCACCCCCATTTTCCTTTGATTCATTTGTTATGTTGGTTCGATCTCTTGGTGGTGGCCTTGCGATGGAGGTGCATCTGGTGGTTGTTGGTTCCATTCCAATTTTAGGGTCTTTTGGTTGTTATTAAGCTGGCCACTTTTGGGCATACCTACTATATTTTCATTTTGTTGTTGGGCTTGTTTGTAAGTAGTGGGCGGCCATTTGGACTCTCTTTTTTCTTGTACTTGTCTTTTTATTTAATGAAAGTAAACTAGTTTGAAAAAAAAAAAAAAAAAAAAAAAAAAAAAGAAAAAAAGAGGGTGAAGTATCAATTTAAAAAACCAAGGATCAAAATATCAATTACCATAAACTAGAGAAGTGCAAAGTATAATTAACTTAATTCTTCAAAAGAATCTTAAGTTCATAACTCATAAAACTTGTTATTTACCGAATAAAAAAAATTAAAAATCTCATAAGCAATGGGAATTGAGCTTCTTTACTAGCTTGAGAGGGTGAGAGACATGGCTATCTTGAGCAAAGCCAACTCCGTTTATCAAATATAAGTAATATTAGACAAGTTACGTAATAAGCGTTACATGAACATGCTCGTGAATATTTTGCATCTCAACTTTTATGGAAGTGTTTCATGGTTTGTATGCATGGCCTGCTATAAAATTTGTATCCATCTCAATGGTGTTAAATTGACATGCGGTCCAAAAGCTCTTAGGCTCTTAGCTAGAAGAACCATAATTCGAGTTTTCTAGCACTACAACGAAGGATACCTCATTTTAAAATCAGACGGTGACGGGCACCTGATGTACCTAAACCCTAGAGACTGATATCTCGAGCTTATCAGGGACCGTCCAGCTGGAGTGGGCTCACATTCTGCTACTTTCCTTGTCTGCAGCACCGACTTATGCCCTCCGATGAGACTTGTCGGAAACCGCCATATTATGTCCAACCTGCTGCGGTCGGCGCCCAACGTATAATGTGTGGAACTGCTTTTTTATTTTTAAAAACACAAGCCAATTAAACTTTATAATGGACTAATCATAATAGTTTTGTTCAAATTTGTTTTTAATGAAAGTTAGACTTAATATTTTCCGCTTATAAATGAAGAGAAACACTATTAAATCATAATGCTAAGCAGCTTATAAATTTTTAAATGCTGCTAAACCTACCTCATCGTATTTTTTTGGCTCTCTTATTAAAAAAATTGTTAATGACAAATTTATCTCAAAAGAAAAAGACTTTTTACCCTATTTATGAATTAATTCATTACAGCAACTTTTCTCTTGCCCCCACCCTGTGTCTCTCTCCCTCTTAGGCCGTTTTGCTCTCTTACTCCCTCTCCCTTTTCTCTCTTCCTTCCTTTTCCTCTCCAATTGAGTTAAAGTTGACGAACTATTACTAATGTTTCTTCAAAGAATTTAGATATATATAAAAGAAGTTACTTTAGGAATAATAGTGGTTGAATAAATAGCATTTTAACTTTTTAACTTTTTATGATGAGTAAGATTATAATGTCGGGAAAAAAAAAAACATTAGGACAGGTTTAGTAGAAATTTTTTTCATGATAAAAGAAAAAAATCTACATTTTAAATCAAATAAAAAAGACATTTACAGCTTATTGGCAAAAAAAGAAAAGAAAAGGAGAAAAAGATAATCGAGAACAAAGTAATTCATCAATTAAAAAGAGAAGACTATAAATTGTCAATAAATAGGTATTTCATTGCGCGTTGCCAAACTATTTCCTCAGTACTGAAAAAAACGCCCACTTGTTGTGGATGGAAATAAGCCTTTTGCGTATGTATTTCGACGTCTGTTGTTTTCATGGAACTGTACAGACTCCTTTTGTTCGTAACAAGCTTTGACGTAACTTATGTATGCCACTAGTGTAGTAGTGATTAATTCTTAAACAAGTTGGATAACAATACAAACCAAACCGCACATCAATCATAATTTCTGGGTGGAACAAAGAGTTTTAGTACTTTGGTTCAATCCATCTAATGTTGACCTGACCTTGTTGTAGTATTTGAATTGTCAAAAGGTAAATGTTAATTCTAAATTAAGTTACTAAATTTGTTTGCTAAATAATGTGTGTGTGTATATGAGAATTGTTTTCATGATCACTTTGCGACTAAAATTTGTACTCGCGCTTTTGTGGTGTGAGCTTATCTTTTTCCAAAAACTTTGTCAAGTAGCCTAGCTTTATCATTTACCGGATGAAAAGATGATGTATTTTCTCTACTCCCCGTTCTTGAAGACTAGAATATAAGTGCCTTGAGAAAATGTCTAAAATATATTTGAATCACATATTAATGAAATTTTTTTTGTCAACTAAAAAAGGGTGAAAAGACATTTTTGTCTTCTATCACAACAAAAAAGTTGAAGACAATAACGTAATTTCACAAAACAAAATTTTGCTGTTTTTTATATAAGTCTCACCTACAGGTGATTGTATCATGTCTAATTTAGAAAGAAAAAAAAAAAAAAAAAAACCTCTCCCCCCTTTCTCCACTCCCACGTTCTCTCTCACTGTTTTCCTCTCTCCTTCGATTATAAAAACAAAAGTAAAATATTTCACACACACTTTGTGTGTGGGCTTGTACTAGTATACAACTAGTATAAAATTAAGAGCCTAAGAAATGAGGAAAGAAAACTACTTTGCTCTTTAATGCGTCACTAACAAATTTCGTGAAGAAAGTTTAGGTTTCACCATAAAACTAATTGGCAAAATAGGGAGTAGCCCAACTTACATGTAAACCCATGTAAGGTCATTCCTGCTATCAATGTGGGATTTATTCTCAACGCGTCCCCTCACGTGTGGTGAAGTTTCAAGCCTAACACGTAAACAACACAACGGGGTCACGTGTGTCCGTTTGACTTTACATGTGAGACAACCTGCTCTGATACTATGAAGAAGTTGAGTTCCACCATAAAACCAGTTGGCAACATGAGGAGTAGCCCAACTTACTTATAAGCTCATGTAAAGTTCCTCCTCCCATCAATGTGAGATTCCTTCTCAACAACAAAAATTCAACCCATATTTTAACTAGTCAATAGTAAATTCATTCAATGTAAACAATATAGCTTAGTCCAGAAGTTAAATTTTTTTATTCATGTCGTGTCATCTCATCTAGATTTGTAATCTGATAAAATAAGTGTGTGGTTAGACATTCGTAGGTTAACCAAAGGGATGTGCTATCCACACACTCCTTGTTAATTTCTATCCGTTGATTTTCCTCAATTCATCCGATCCGACTGCTGAAAATTAGAAGGATGTATGAAAAATAAAATAAGGTGTGTGAATATCACATCCCTAACCAAAACACGACTCATTTTTAACTAGTTAACAATGAGTGATCATTTGGCGTGAACAGGACAACTAAGGCTAGCCCTGATATTAAAATTTTGAAGCTTGGATCGTCATGTTAGTTAGATTCGCAATATGACATACTGAACCCCATGTGAAATAGATAACTAATGCGCACTCCGTACATTAAAATTTCATGCGTGTTGTACATGTAACCAAGGCTTGCGATCTGACAAAATAAGTACATGACTTGGACATAACTCTAGCAAAAAAGATGTAAAATTTCTTACCCTAAATATTTAACATTTTGTTATAAGGAAGAAATACTATTTTGTTTCTCAAAATTTCAAGAATCTACGTACGTTGTTCTCTTCAGTATTCTGTGGCTTCTTCATTTTTCTTTTTCTACTTTTATGGCTCATCTCACTAGAATTTTTGTGGCTAGGTCTGTGCCTGATGGTAAATCTAGTACCATCGGCAACCCTTGTGAAAAGGTTAAATAGTGGGTTGGATTGGACGACGAAAAGTTGTGCAACTAGCTAGCTAGGGCAATCAGTCATTGGTCTGGCAAGCTAGCCACAGTCCACTGAAATCGGGTGGCAGAGAATAGTCGAATTAATCACGCATTGTCACTAACTGCCTGCAACTCCTACATAAACAAGCACAACTATGTTCACAGGCCACAATGTCCTTAATAACTTACTGAATTTAATTTCCTAAGCTATTTCGATCAAAGAGAGCGATATGTATATTGTTTTACCTCTCTACTATTTTCTTCTTATTGCTCTTTTTTCATTCATCTTATTACTTGCAAAACAAATGAGAGCATGGAAACCTACAGCAACTCTACCTCCAGGTTCAATGGGTTGGCCCTATGTAGGTGAAACCATGCAACTATACTCTCAAAACCCTAATGTCCTTTTTTCCACTAGGCACAAAAGGTAATTAAATAATTAAATCCACTGCATGCATGCTTATCAAGACTGGATTATTTTAATTTAATATCTTAATTAATGTTAGGTGTGGAGAAGTTTTCAAGACTCGCATACTTGTCAGTCCTTGTGTGATGCTGTCTAGCCCAGAGGCTGTGCGGTTTGTGCTGGTGACTCAGGCACACTTGTTTAAACCTACATACCCTCAAAGCAAAGAGAGATTAATTGGTCCCTCAGCAATTTTCTTCCACCAAGATGACTACCATGGACAGATTAGAAGATTAGTCCAAGGATCATTGTCCTTGGATGTT